TAATGAGATAGCATAGGTGGAATTATCTACCCAGCCCAAGGTAAAAAAAAAATAAGGCAAATACAAAATCCAACAGGTGTCTTGTGTCTTTATTGATTGTGATAGTGGGTTAGATAATACCACTGTAATAATTGTGGGCAAACCATAAACATTATTAGCATGTACTTTTAAAATTAGCACAATACCATACCTATTCAAACCACCACAGCCCTCAAATCCCAGAAGGCCCCTCCATCAGGTTACTCTCATATTCTAGAGGTCATATGATTTCCTGCACAAGCACTTCGGAATGAGTTATTGAAAGACAGCTTTTGAAAAGCAGGGCTGGAGAGATGGCTCCGCCGCTAAGAGTACTTGCTGCTGTTCCAGAGGACTTGAGTTTGGTTCTCAGCACCCACATCAAGCAGCTCAAAACTGTCTGTAACTCTAGCTCCTGGGGATCCAATGCCTTTGGCTTCTACAGGTACTTGCACTCATGTGCATGTACCCAAATGCAGACACCCATCTAGATATAATTAAAAACAAATCTTTTTTTTTTTCCTTTAAAGCAGGACTTGGGGCTGGAGAGGAGGATTTAGCGATTAAGAGCACTGTCTGCTCTTCTAGAGGACCAGGGTTAATTCCCATTTGGCTTACAACTGTCTGTAACTCCAGACTCAGGGGATCTGACACCTCTCCAGGCCTCCTCTGGCACCAGGCACACTGGTGATACACAGATATACATCCAAGCAACAAACCCTACCCATAATAAAGCAATGATGTTTTAAAATTAAAAGAGGGCTCGAGATACGGCTCCGTGACTGGGAGCACTGGCCCCTCTTCCACAGGCTCTAGGTTTAATTCCTAGCACCCATGTGGTGGCTCACTAACATCTGCAACTCAGTCCCAGGGGATCCAGCACCCTCTTCCGTCCTCCTCGGGCACCAGGCACGCATGTGGCTCACAGGTACCCATTCAGGCAAAACACCCGTACACATTAACGGAAACAAAATTTAAAAAAATTAGAAGAGGCTGTGTGGTGGTGGTGGTGCGGGAGAGAGAAGCAGGCAGATCTCTGTGAGTTCCAGGATAGCCAGGGGGCTGTCACACAGAGAAACCTTGCTTTGGGGAAACAAAACAGAAACATCAAAGGTGTGAGGCATGTGGTTGCAGCCCGGGCTCATACCCGCTGGGGCTTGCCAGGAGCAAGGCAGCCTGTCCTTGGACACGGATGTAGTGGTACAAGTGGGCACAGTGGCGAGCACTAGTATGTGCACAATGGCACGAGGGATGCTGCCAGCCCAGTACATGGCAGGTGGCCAGATGATCGTGGAGATGATGCCAGAATCTCAGGAAAGCTCAGTGCGCATCAAGAACCTTACAAGATCTTTGACGTGGTCTCACCAAAAGGGGAGCTGCCAAGCTTCTGATAAGAATAGACTTCGATACGACGCTAAGTGGGTCATCTATGTAGAGAGCCTCCTTGTCTATCTCCTTGACATTTGGTGATCATTTGAGCTGCTTTTATCTTTTGCCTGTTGTGAATTACGCTGCTGTGAACACTCATGTACATGTTTTCTTATAGGAATGTGTCTTCATTTCTCTTGGGATCTATACCTAAGAGTGGAGTCGCTGGGTCAGATAGTGACTTTGTCTAAGGTGCTGCAACATTGCTTCCACAATCATCTGTCCGCCCATGCGTGTGCGTGTGTCCTGAGGAGTGAGATGCGCCTTAGTTTCTGATCACCTCCATTTTGATGTCTGTTGTATAATTTATACTATAGCAGCAGCGTTAAAAGTTCCTTTTCCCCATCTTCTCCAAAGCTGGATTTTGTTTAAAAAATTTTTGATTCTTTGTTTTTATTTTACATGTATGGGTAGTTTACCTACATGTGTCTGACTGCATGAATGTAGTACTTGGTCAGATGAGGGTAATGGATCCCCTGTGATGCTTTTGAGCCACAATGTGGATGCTGGGAACTGAACCCAGGCCTTCTGGAAGAGCAGCCAGTGCTTTTAACCTCTCTCTAGCCACTCATTTATTATTAACTTTTAATTTATTTTATGATATGATAGTACACAACTTTAATCCCACAACTCGGGAGGCAGAGGCAGAGGAGGCAGATTTCTGTAAGCTTATTGCCAGCTTGTCACCCATAGCAAGTTCCAGCCATAGTGAGACCTTGTTTCAAAATACTGTTTTTTAAAATTACAAGTGTGTGTCCACGTGGGGTTATATGCACACGGGTGTAAGTGCCTATGGAGACCAAAAGAAAGTTACAGGCAGTTGTGAGGTGCCTGGTATTGGTGATGGGAACCAAATTCTGGTCCTCTCCGAATACAGTGCATGCTGTCTAGCACCAAGCCATCCCCTCAGCCTTTGTTCTCATTTTAATGTCTTGAGTTCATTCTATACTCTAGATCGGTGGTTCTCAATCTTCCCAATACTGTTACCCCTTAATACAGTTCCTCATCTTGTAGTGACCCCAACCATGAAATTTTCATGGCTACTTCATAACCGTAACTTTGCTGTTAGGAATCATAATGTAAATATCTGACTTGTGACTCCCTGAGGGGGTCATGACCCAGAGGTTGAGAACCAGTGCTCTAAATAGTCATAGCTTATCAGACACCTAGCAAGGAGCTAGGCTGTCGCGTTCTGCAGGCTGTCTGTTTTCTTCATGGTACAGCCTCTATTTCTTGTAAACCTCATTTGTCAGTTCTTGGATTTCCTGAGATTCCTAGGGTCCTAACAGAAAGCCCTTGCCCATACTTTGACATGTTTTTTTCTGTTCTTTCCTAACAGTTTCAGAATTCCATTAAAACCTTTGATCCAGGTTGAGTTTTGTGCAGATACGAGCCAAGAACCTGGTTTCATTATTCTGTATGTGGAACCCACTCTTTTCCAGCACCATATGTGAAAGACTCTATCTTTTCTCTCATGTATTTGATACCTTTTTCACATGATGTGACTGTACCTACATGAGCTTATTTTTGGTTAGTTTATCCTCATTAGCCTACTTACCTGTTTTTGTGCCTTTACCATGCTGGTTTTCTTTCCCTCCCTCCCTCCCTCCCTCCCTCCCTCCCTCCCTTCCTTCCTTCCTTCCTTCCTTCCTTCCTTCCTTCCTTCCTTTCCTTTTCTTTCTTTCTTTCCTTTCTCTTTCTTCTTTCTTTGGCTTTTCAAGACAAGGTTTCTCTGAGTAGCTACCAGGTTGTTTTTATCACAGTTGTGTATTCTAAATTGTAGTCAGGTACGATGATATTCCCAGCATTACTCTTTTGTGCATCTATGTAAAATTTAAGATTACCTGTCCTAATTCTGTAAAAAATTTTATTCTCTCTATTCCTTGTCCCTCTCCCAATCTGGAATTTACTGTGTTGTTGCAGGATATCTGATCCCATTGTGAACCCCAAAGTGGAGAGGTGTAAAACACCATTTCTTGTTTGGTGCGGTTTAGCCCTATCACACACCTTTAATCCCAGAACTTTCTTATTGTAAATAAGTGTGATTCATCCAGCCCTAGCAGATACCTTTAATCCAAGAGCTTTCTATATGCAGAATTTAATAAAGTTAATCCTAGGTCAAAAGGCAGAGCAAGAAACCAGCTGACAGGGATTACAGAGGGACTTTGAGTTGAGGGTTCTTTAAGGCAGCCTGGAGAAGAAAGGTTCTTTTGAGCTGGCTCTTTGGGCCCTAGCTTAGGCCTTGGGTTCTTTGGCCTTTTCCTCCTGGGCTGTCAGTTGAGCTAGTGAGCCTTTTGGGTTTTTTCCATCTGGACCTGAGCTGAGAAGGAAGGTCATCTGGGTAAATTCTCTGCCTCTCTGAGCTAGCAGGTTTTCACCCCAGCATCTGGCTCCTGCCTGAGTCTTTATTGGTAAAATAGAACAGTTGGGAATTTTCATTTTTTTAAAACGACACTCTGTAGCCCAGGCTAGCCTTGAACTCTCAGCCTTCCCAGCGTTGGGATTATAGATGGGAGCCATATAACCTAGCGTTTTCACTTTCAGATCTTTGACTTGCATTATCCAGTCAATTTGTCCAGTTCACTTATTCTTTCCTCTGTTAACTCAGCTCTCCCTGGGAGTCCTTTTTAAAGTTCCAGAATTCCCATTTCACCCTTTCAAAAGCGACCTCTCTAGAGCTGGAGAAATGACTCAGTAGTTAAGAGCACACACCACTCCTCTAGATGATCCGACTTGGATTCCCATCAACCACATCAGATGTCTGTAACTCTAGCTTCAGGCCAGAGCCTCTGCACGCACCTGTCCTCACGTGGGCCTACACATAATGAAACTAAATCTCAAAACAAGAAAACAAACAAACAACAACAAACAAAAAGCATCTCTCTTGAAGGTCTCTGTGAGATACTGTATTCCTGCCTTCCTTAAATTTGTGAACGCGTGTGATGGCAATGAGAGTCTTCCCTGGTAGTCCTGGCATTCCTGCCACCTCATAGGCAGTTCCTGCTGCCTTCACTCCCAGGAGGTAGGCTGGGCATTGTTTCTTTTCAGATCTCTCATTGGTATTGTTTAAATTTGATATTAGTAACAACGAACTGATATTAGAACACCAGTAACAATCCGGGTAGACGGATCATGTTTTGGTGAAGATGGCTCTGCTGTGTTTGACTTTCCCAAGTTTTCAGGACTTCAGGTCTTTTCCCAGGTTTTTCTGGGAACAGACCTGGGATGGTTAGGCTTATAGTAGCACCTGTACCTCTGTCAACTCTCTCAGCATCTGCTCCACAGGAACCCCATCATCCCTGCAGCATTATGCCCACTATCCTGACCCTATCTAGAAATTGTGTCTCAGTGGGGTTTAACGGCCTGGGTAGGGCACAGGGACAAGGCTGTCTCTTACAGCATGAGGATCCTAGCTCACCTGTGGCTGTGCTGGACCCCTCCCTCATGGCTTCTATGGGATACAGATGTCCCTAAAGCGTGGTGTTAAAAACAAAACACTCATAGTTCACAATCATTCCCTTTTTCTATCTGACACAGGAAGGAGAACAGAGGCCATCAGTGAAAAAATTTATTTCATACATTTAATAGTGACATTCTTAGAGTAGCCACTGTGAAGCATGTAGGCGGTCTCTCCATCTCTCTCCTTCAGTGTGTCCTGGTTATTTCTGGAATCTTCAGCTTCTGAATTTCTATACACTGGCTGCTTCATGTGACCAGAGATGAAAATAAGGAGGTGGCAAGGGTCCAGCTCAGGGCAGCTATCCAGAAGCAAGAGAAAGCTCTGGCATGCCACTCCCTGCAAGTCTGTCTGGCTTTCTTAGCAAGGATCCATCAGTGGTGTTTGTTTTTTTTCTTAGTGCTTTTAAACCCTCTGGCTGCACCCTGGCCAAAACAGACAGTAGAAGGTATTCTGGAACAGAAAAGTGGTCATATCAAACAATGGCGTTATTCTTGACAACATGCAGCCCAAATCACAACAGCAGTTTGTCTGTACTTTCTTCACATTTGTATTCTGGAATGTTCTCCTTTTGCTCTGTGGAACACTCAGGAAATGGAGTTTACCCTCTTGGGCCCTAGGATCAGCTCCTGGTCTCAGACCTGCTTCCTGTGGGATATTTTCCTGGTACCAGTGTACATTTGCTCAGAAGAACTCGGCCCGCAAGGCCAGCTCCTGCTGAGGCTCCTGTGGCATTGGTTTCCTGTTATCCACATTGCTGAAACCTAAGCACCACAGGCAGGCAGGGTACTCACAGGCCAAGGTCCAAAATATTGTAGGAAGATGGCTTCTGGAAGGCAACTGAGGGACATACATGTCCATCTTTTTGCCAGTTTGGATTCTTGGGCCACCTGCCACCCCCATAATAAAGGTGGAAGGTAGTGTTAGCTTAATCTGAGAAAGACAGTCTGCCAAGCAAGTGCAGGAGTAGAATCTTCCCACCCAGCAGAGATGACAGTGACATACGTGTACCTGTGTGTCTGTGTGTGCTTGTGTGTGTGATCGTGTGTGTATGCATGCATGTGTGTGTGCACGTGAGTGTTAGGCTCCAGGGTCCGAGGCATAGGAAAGGAGGGAAACTCGAACATTCAGGGTGTCACCTGCAGTGAAGGTGACATCTTCTTGCCCAGTGTCACCCACTTTCAAGCCTAGGGTCACAGCACAAACGAGAAGATGTGCACACTGACTTGTGACTGAAGGTCCGCCTGCAGGGGGATGGGGCAGCAGGGTCAGAGCAGATTTCCATGGCATCACTGTCATCTTTCAGGGCTCTGGCTGACAGGTCTGCTGCAGCTGACATGGCATGGCTGTAGAGGACAAAGCAGTGAACAACACTTCTACCTGTTCCCCAGTATTAAACTTTCAAGGAAGACACTTTTTTTTCCTGCAAAAATGTTTTTGTTTGTTTGTTTTGCTTTTTTTACTATTTTGACACAATCTAATATTACGATGAAAATTCCAGGCTATTGCAAACAGAAGAACGCTTTATGGCACAGTCGTGCCTTAAGAGAGCTAAGTCTGGTAATTCATAAATTTACGTAAATGATTCTTCATCTCTTTTTAAAACGTAGTTGGGGCCATCTCTTTTTAAAACAGTGGTGTACCCTTTAATCCCCGCACTAGGGAGGAGAGACAGCTGATCTCTGTGAGTTCTAGAGGATGGCCCAGTCTAAGGAAGTGAGTTCCAGGTGAGTCAGCTATACAGCGAGAGACCTCCAGTACCTGCCCCCCAAAAAAACAGCTGCTGAGGAACTTGGTGTGTAGACCAGACTGGCCTCCAACTCCGAGATTTGCGATTTGCATGCCTCTGCTTTCGAAGTACTGGGATTAAAGGAGTGTAACACCACCCCTCAGCCTCCGTCAGTATTTTTAAGATTTTTTAATTTCTGTATTTGAGTATATGTGTATGTGTTTCTTGGTGCCACATATATGTGGATGGATGCCTAGAAGCCAGAGAAAGGTACTGGATTGCTTGGAGCTGAAATTACAAGCAGGAATTTCTGCTATCTGAGCTATCTGAGGTGGATATTGGGAACGACATTCTACTGCTGAGTTATATCCCCAGCCCCCAAATGTCTTTCCATGAGGATGAGATTTACTAATTAACTAGATAACATAGTAGTGCTACCACTACTTCCAACGAGCTAACCTAGCACTGTAGAAGTCAACAAGTATGGAAGACTCAAATCTTCATGAAGCATTCCACAAGGCAATGGGCTCTCCTATTATTTTACATAGAAAGGTGCACTGTTTGAAGAAAACAGACTCCAGTTCACGAACTTTTTATTTATTCACATTGTGTGCGTGCTTGTGTGTGCGTGCTTGTGTGTGCATGCCCACATGCGTGGTGTACGAATGTGTGTAAGACAGAGGCCTACCTCAGGGGTCATTCCCCAGGAGCTTTCTGCCTTGGTTTCTGAGACAAGGTGTCTCACTGGGACCTGCAGCTCACAGATTCAGCTAAGCTAGGCCTAACCACAGAGACCACTTTCCTGGTGCTAGCATTATATGCGCACACCACCGTGCTTGGCTCTTTTAGGTAGGTGCTAGGGACCAAACCTCAAGAACCTCACAGAATGAGCTGTTCCCTCAACCCCAAACAATGCAATGTCTAATGGTTACGAGAGTTCACTGAATGGAATCTTTTTTTTTTTTTAAATGAAGCAAAGAAGCATGACTCTTAAGAGTTATTCTAGAAGTTATTTTCCCCAGGGAAGTCTAAACATGTCATGTTAACAGACAGCTTTGTTGACAAGTAAAAAAGTAAGCAGAGACAGAAATAAAGAAAAACTAGGGAGTCCCATGGGAGAAGCCTGAAGAGCCCCCCTACACACACACACTGGGACAGTCCCCAGTGTCCCTGCTGGTAGCTTCAGAAGGGCATGCAGGGCACAGATCAGCATAAGCACTTACCATCACCCCCTCCCTCTGCTCCCAGCGCCCTCCTGACTCCACAAAAGTATAAACCAAGCATACTAACTCACTGTCCTAAGAATTCCAGCTACCTGTGTGTAAAACTTAAGTCAGGTTCGACTACAGTGCCTGTTCCCAAGCTTAACACTGGGGACAGTCACAGCTGGGTCCCTCACATACCCTCTGTTTGTCTTGGGCTTATCAAATCGGAAATCCGCAGGGTACAGGTGTAGCCTCACCATGTGATCCTTCCGGGCTTGGCTGGTCTTGAACTTCTCCGGGCAGCCTTCAACCAAGCACTGGTACTACAAAGGATAAAGGGTCACCTCCACCCTCACCCTGCCCTAAGCTCTGACCCCAGTCAGCACTGCAGATGGGCCCAGTGTAGCCAACACCCACCATGTCTTGCCTCTGGGCCAGGATCTGAAACATAGAGTCATGCCATTCCAGGATGTGGGCATCCAGCAGATGCCCGGAAGGGAAGGCGCGGTTGCAGAGGGAGCAGGAGTTTACGTGTAGCATGTGGTAGTGGTGCTGGTAGTCCTCTAGGGCGGCGAACACTTGGCAACAGCCAGCCACCTGACAGGTGAACTCAGGCACCCTAGGATAAAGGAGGCGCGTCTCTTGGAAGGATGCTTCCCCACCCCCCCGCCCCGCCCACCCAGCCCAAGACAGGAATTCCTGAGGAACTTCCTACCCAGATCCCTGTTGGTGAGCCTGACATAAGCCCAGCGCTTCCCCGTCCCACCCCGAACCTTACTATTACAGCAGGGGAGGGAAGACCCAGCCAAGCCATGCATGAGCGCGGGCAGGGTGGTGCTAAGCACATACTACTCTCGGTGTCATCTGCGAGGAGTCCGAGTTCTACGCTGTGTGCGGACGGGAGAGGAGGGGCCAGGGTAGCGCTAGCAAGCAAAGAAAGGCCTCAAAGCCAAGCTGCTCACATGGATTTCTCCGGCGTCTCGGACACTTGCGTGAGCATGTCCCGCAAGTACAGGTGCCGCTGCACGTCCCCATCCTACAGAAGACACGCGCCCAGAGCCATGGGTGGAGCCGGGCCTCGAAACCCCGCCCTACAGCTTTGAGCCACGCCCCAGCCCACAGAGGCGTGTCCAGCCCCTAGGTCCTGTCCACACACACAAGCCCCGCCCACAGCAACAGTCCCGCCCCCTGGGCCCCGCCCTGCGGAGGGCTCAGGAGACCTTCCGCCAGGTTTTCACGCACCTCGAAGAACTCGTGATCCCGCGGGAAGCGCACGGGGCGCGGAGCGAACCGGAAGGGCGCCGCCCCTGCCGCAGGATTCCGCTCCACCGGCAGCGGTTCGGCCGCCCCGGGCTCCCCGGCCAGGCGGGAATATAGTGCAGGAGGGAGCAACATCCCCACAGCCACCGGAGCCCTTCGGCCACCGTCGGCGGGGCGGGGACGGACGTGACGTCTGTCAACTTCCTGTGGCGACCGAGCGGGGCGGAACGCGACGCGCGGAGGTGAGTCAGGGCTGGGTCTGGGTTGTGGCGGGAAGCGGTCGGGAAAAGGCGGGGCTGGAGCCGGGCGCGAGGTCGGGTACGGAGCCAGGCCGGCCCGCGGCAGTGAAAAGTCTGATTCTCTTGGGCCTCTGGCGACGGCGGTTCCGACTGCCAGCCCCGGCTTGCTCCACCGGCGACAGCCTCTGGCTGTCTCTGTTCTCTCCAGGCGTCCAGCTGGAGGTCTTGGGAAATTCGTGGTTAGTATGGCCCTTCTCTCCTGACAGCCTCGCAGTGACTGCGGAGCTGGCCTGCCGGTCTTCTGCAGGTGCTCAGAGTTTACGGGTGCAAGGGCCCGCAGCAGTAGAGACAGATTAATTAATTAATTAAATAGATAGATAGATAGATAGGCGTCTGAGACGTGCAGAATAGGTCATAGGTCACAACAGGACAGGGCTTCCCTGTATGACTGTATTGTCAAGGAAGAAGAGGTATTACTGTTTAACAGATACAAATAAAACCTTTTGGGGCTATTCTCCCTTCTCTCTCAGATAGCCCTGGCCTTGTCCAGTCTGTTTCTCTTTCTCTGATCGGGACTCTTCCATATGTCAAGTTAAAAAAACAAAACAAAACAAAAACAACAAAAACCCAGCACTGGCTGGTTTGTACTATTATCCAGGAGTTCTATAATGGTTCTCAACCTTCCTAATGCTGTAATCCTTTAATTCAGTTACTCATGTTGATTTTTTTTTTTCGAGAGAGGAATTGTCTGTGTGTAATCTTAGCTATACTGGAACTCACTCTGTAGACCAGGTTGACCTTGAACTCACAGAGATCCACCTTCCTCTGCCTCCCAAGTGGTGCGCCACTACCACCCTGCTAGTTCCTCCTGTTGAGGTGACCCTCAACCATAAAATTATTTCGTTGCTACTTCATAACTAATTTTTGCTACTATTATGATTCATAATATAAATATCTTACCTGCAGGATATCTGATACGTGATGCCTTTGAAAGGGTTGTGGGGTCTTCATCAGGCTGAGAACTGATGCTCCAGAATCTTCCCTTTTCACACATGTTCTACCCCAACTTTTGTTTTAAGTACTGTGCACTGAAAACACGCACCTGGCTTGCTCGTGATTGGTTGTGCCAGACTTGCCAAATAACTTGTGTTTAGTCTATTATTACATATGTGGTGACTGGGGACTGATAGAGATAGGAGCCAAGGGGTATCAGAAGGTCAAGCAGGCTGTTGAGAATTGTTCAGACTTTTTACAGTTGGTCTTTCAACTGTAAGTGTGTCTTCCTGTACGTAGAACAATTGTGTTGACGTTACTGTCTGTGTCCCTTGCCCAGTAATTGCCAAGAGTGTCTTTTTTAAAAAAGGTTTATTTATTTTATGAGTACTCTATCTGCATCTACACCTGCATTCCAGAAGAGGGCATCAGATCCTAGAATAGATGGTTGTAAGCCACCATGGGATTTCTGGGAATTGAACTCAGGACCCCTAGTAGAGCAGACAGTGCTCTTAACCACTGAGCCATCTCTCCAGCCCCAGCCAAGAGTGTCTCTTTGGTTGTTGTGACAACCAAAAGTTTAGACATGTCTACTGGGACATAATCTAAAGGCTTAAAGGCAGCTACTATTTAAAGATGAGAAAAGCCTTTTTTTTTTTTTTTTTTCCTGCAAATATCTACAAATCATGAAGCCCAGCAGGCTCTTTGGATTAATACATGGAAAGTAGTGATATCTGAGGATTTACACATTTTCTAGGATATGATTTTAAAGGGAGTGTCCCTGTAGACGGTCTTTCCCTGGAGTACAGCTGCCCTCCGTGTTTGGGGGACAGGGTTTGGTATTGGCAGTCCACACCTTCTTTGCCATCTGGCATGTTGCAGGGCAGCCCTCAGGCCCTTGTAAGCCTCATGGTTACTGCCACATTTAAAGAGACCATATTTGGGAGAAGTTTGGGGTTTTGTATTGTGTTTGCCAGGTAGCTTAAGGTGTCTCTTTTGGGACCTACCAATATATCTTTTTTAAGTATTTCTTGAATATTGAATATTTTATTTATTATTTTTTTGTATGTACAGGTGTTTTGTCTGCACACCATGTTCATCCAGTTAGTTCCCCTGGAGGCTAGAAAAGGGTGTCAGGTGCCTTGGGATTAGATAGGTGTTTTTGAGCCACCATGTGGGAGCTAGGAATTGAATCCAGGTCCTCTGCAAGAGCAGCCAGCTTCTCTTTAACTGCCAAGCCATGACTCCATCCCCAAGGTGACTCCCATTTAAGATACTGTCAGTGTCTTAATTCTAAAATTAAATGGTTTTCACATTACTTAGTGAGCATAGCCACTTCCCAGAAAACAGCAAGCATTTTTATTTAATCTCCATACCAACTCTGGGTAGCTCTGCTACTCCCACTTTTCATGAGAAGCATGCAAGGGGCTAGCTGACATTGTGCCTGGTATCCACAGCTCACAGATAACAGAATCATGTTCCTACTGTGTGAGACTCCACAGCCCATACTCCATTGTTTTGTGCTCTTTATTGTGGTTGTACCAAACACTTTTTGATTTGAAAGTTTGTGTGCTGGGGATTTGACATCAGCTTAAGCTTTCCATTTGGTTTTAGTTCTTGGAGGCACCTGTTTGGACTATTGGAGGAGACTAATAAACTGAAAGAAACTGCTTTCCATTACATGGTTTACAGTATTGAACTCTCCAGGTAGAGTTTCAAGATGGTACTACTTTGTACATTAGCATACTGTGGGAGTGTGTGCTGAGTCTCCTGCCCTTGGCACTATTTAACTCAAGGGCTTGTCTCAATTGGAGATGTTAGCAAGACAGTTCTTAACTGCTAAATTACAAAGCCTTTGAGAATTTATAAGAATGCTCAGATATGACTAGTAAAGTCTTATCTCCAGGCATAACTTCACTAATGTTTGTGAATCCCAAATTAAGAATTATAATTATAGGGGCTGGAGAGATAGTTCAGTGGTTAAGAGCATTGGCTGTTCTTCCAGAGGACCTGAGTTCAATTCCCAGCATCCACATGGCAGCTCACAACTGTCTGTAATTCTAGTTCCAGGGATCCGACACCCTCACAGACATACATGCAGGCAGAACACCAATGTACATAAGATTTTTAAATAAATAAGTTATTAAAAGATTACACACGTGCATGGAGGCAGAGGCAGACAGATCTCTGTAAGTTTGAGGTCAGCCTGGTCTACAAATCGATTATAGGATAGCCAAAGCTACACAGAGTACACAGGGAAACCTTGTCTCGAAAAACTTAAAAAAAAAAAAAAATGCTAATACAGGTTTATTACCATGTACCTGTAACAACCAGATAGTTTGTTTGGCTTAATTTTGAAACTATAGCTAGTGTCTGTTTTTCCTTAAAGCTGTTTAATAGCACTTCTGATACTGACTAGCTCAGTCAACAGTGGAAGAATAGAAGACCCCATGTTGTCAGCTGTTAGTAACAGAACGTTGCTACACCTGTTACCCATGAGGACATTATACACAGTTTCCACATGCTTAGCCAGTTTTCTCTGGGATGATGGGATAGAAGTGACCAAGCCTTTCCTAACCAGTGGAACATTGGTTTAGAAATTCTCGTGCTCTCTTTTGCTGTTGCTCTACAATGCAAAATACAATTCTGTTGTATTTTGAGACAGGTTCTGGTTGTGTATCCCAGGCTGGTCTTAACTGTGATCTTCCTGCCTCTATTTTGGGGTTCCAGGGTCAGAAGTTGTTTGTTTGTTTTTAATTTTTTTTTAAACTAATTACAGTTTATTCACTTTGTATCCCGGCTGTAGCCCCCTTCCTCTTCTCCCAGTCTCAGCCTCCCTCCCTCTTCTCCTCCCATGTTCCTCCCCCAGCCCACTGATAGGGAGGTCATCCTCCCCTTCTATCAAAAGTTGTTTTAATCTTTGTATTTGTGGCCAGTGTCTAGACCCTGGTACAGGGCATCAATAAAGGTGGAATGTGTGAGAATCTTACCTACCTAAAAGATCTTTGTACATAGATAGCCAGGCCAGGACCAGAAAAGGAAACACTGAAGGCTTTAGAGTGCAAAAAGAATGCCAGACAGGTATGTGGACAGAGATACTACCTAACAGCTTAGGGTTTAAGAACTGGGTATGGCCTCATGAGTGAGAGATTTTAATATGTTGGGACAGACACAGTAACCTAGGAAGCTCCCTCATAGGGCATTATCATTGTGTCTGCGCAGCCAGGGCCAGAAAAGCTGAGACAACATAGCAGATCTACCTCTTGCTGGCCCGTGGTCATAGGATGGGTTGGGGCCAGGAAGTGAGAACCAAGCCTATGGGGCCAATTTTAGTGATTTACCTGCTACAGCTGGCTCCCTACGTGCTGGTGTGAGCTGGAAAAGAACTGGAAGCTATGTTGACAGGGTCATGACTGGCAAGATCTCAGCAACGTTTTGCTAGAGGAGGCAGAGAGACTGGTGGTTGATGTAATCTTGACAATGATTTTTATGTCAAAGGCTCGAATCAGTCAAATGGCATTTTAGGTTTTAATTTTATAAACAGCTTTCTTTCTGCCTTCAGGAGAACATTGCTATGTTGGTTTCACAGAGCTAAACTATGAGTGAATTTCGGATTCACCATGATGTCAATGAGCTGCTCAGCCTGCTACGAATCCATGGCGGGGATGGGGCTGAGGTCTACATTGACCTGCTGCAGAAGAACCGGACACCATATGTTACAACCACAGTCTCTGCACACAGTGCCAAGGTAAGCACCTATTCCTAATACAGGATCATAGGGACCTTTAGGTGTAGGGCCATGGGTGTGGGCACTTATCCTAGGGCTGTGAAGATTGGAGCCGGTCCCTGATAGCCACAGCAAGACTAGTGCTGGGGCCAACAGCACCAGTGGTATCTCCTTTGAAGCTGAGCATTCACTGTG